TTTTACTTTCCCAGCACTGCTGGATTTGCTGGTTAGCTTTTTAGCCTTTTAGCTGCTGCTTTCTGTTTAGTATCTCAACTTGTCCTTCCTACAAAGCTTAGGAATTGGGCAGATGCCTTGAAAAGAAAAGCCGTGGAGAATGTCAGGCTTACTGCAGTATGATCTTGGCTCCACAAGTCTTAGCGGTTTTGCTTGTTCTCCAGTGCCTTCATACAGCTGTTTTTTGTTTTGCTTTTTATATTATATCCAGCCAGGAGTGTTAGCCTGATATAAGTAACTTTCAAGATTGCAAGTTTTCAATTTACGTTTTCCACTATTACTTTTATGATGTTCTCAAAGTGTGAAAAGATGGTTTTTATCTTTAACAAGTATTAAACTTGTACCCTGGGTATTTTGCTATAGCTTCCTAACATTATAAAGTATAAGATATAATCTTTATCTTTGTTTAAAGCAGAAAATAGAAATAACATTTAAGTTCCAAAAATATGCAGGCCCTTACTATTTTATAAACCTTTTCAAGTCAAGTTGGAAAGAGAACATATCTCCAAAAATGATATATATTACTACCTAATATTGTACTTATGGGTCAAATGATTTTTTCTAACAGTGCATACAAAGGGAGGACAAGAACTAACATTTGTGCACAACTATTACTTCATTTAAACTTCAGAACATACACATGAGATGTTTCCATTTTAATTGATGACAAAAGCCAGTTTGTAAAAAATTTGGAAATATGAAATCACAATCTCCTTAGAGATAATTACTAAGAACATTTTTGGTATAAGGACATATTTAGTCTTTTCCTACTACATATAAACATTTTTAGATTAGCTATGTGTAATTCTAGCAATTTAAGCTTCAGTTTCTTTTGTAACTTTTTTATTTCTAATATCTTGTAAAGCTAATTTACACAGTATTTTTTTTTTTCTTAGTTTACATGTAGCTGACTTGTTCTTAGTAATGATCTGGAACAGAATATTCTCTAGATTTAAGAATTATAATTTTATATAGATTATGTAATTATATATGATGATGTTTTAAAAGTTGGTGTAACTGTTTAAATATACCTTTTGTTAAGCTTAATAACTTTTTTGTTTATATTTTAAAGGCCAAACTGTTTTCAGATAGTAGTTCAGCACTTTAGTGAGGAACATTACATCTTTTACTTTGCAGGAGAAACTCCAGAACAAGCAGAGGTAAGAACACTGTTTCTTAAACTAATATAAATCTTTGTTAGCCCATGTTTCTTACTAACTAGAATAGAAACTATTGCATTTAAGATAAAGTGCATCTTTTTATTTTAAAGATTGAGAAGTTTCATGTATAGATATATTTGTTATTGGAAAGAAATGCAGAAACAAATGCAGTGAAGGGTTATTAGGAACAAAAATTCCATTTTAAATTGACCTTTAACCACTTTGGTACTGCGATCACCAGCTGCAAAACCTTGCCCACATCCGGCACTCATAGTCTGCACAATAGTTTGTGCTGTGCATTGACAACGAATCCGTTTTGCTCTTGTGTGATGAGGAAAGCTTTAAGTACTGAAAGCTCGTTTTACTTTACAGGCAGCTTTACTTGTAATGTAAATCAGAATAGGTAACATATACATATATGTTTTCATTACATTATTTTTAAATGTTCACAGTTTTATTTTGATAAAAGTCATGTCACGGCTGTCAGCTAAAGTCACTGTGCACGTTCATCTGTGGCTATCGACTATAGTCGACACTGGTCCCGAAGTGGTTAAAAACTCATGTTGAGTCCAATTGAGAATCCTCATTTGAAATCTTTCATAAAGGTTGTAGATATTGTCAGTACAATCCAAAGGGTAAGCCAGGTTAGTTTTTCTCATAGCATTATTCTTCTTCACTGATTAAAGCATTATTCTTCTTCACAGACACTCCATGTCTGAAAATAAAACTTTAGTTAACAAAAGGAAATATCTTTTAGGACTCTTCTATATATTCTCTTAAATTTAGATATAATGTCTACTTTAATACTTAACCATTGATCCATGTGACATGTCCTTCTTGTTTTATTAAATTTTAAGTAATTATGTGAAGAAACAATGTTTTTAAAAAATTTCCTTTTAAAAAATATTTTGCTTTCTTTAAACCACAATATTTCTAGGGTGTTTAGTTGTATTTTGAACAAATACTGCCCTATTTCTGCTTACACTCTTGAAGGAATTTTAAAGGTAGGTTAAGAGATGAAAGTGGCTATGTTGGAAATAGAACATAATTTGCCAACTCTGGATATGAGACAGATGCTCTTAAAATTGTTGTATGGGCCCCTGACTCATAAATTATCAAACTAGTAGATTCATAGAATAAAGTTGATGAATGAGCTATTGTTTTATGGCTTATAACTGAATGTTATATTTCACATCTTTATATAATTTCTCAATTACTCATTTTACATACAATGCACATAAAACTTTGTACCCTTGATTTTCAAATGAGAAAAGCGTATATTTTTTTTAAATGTTAGAAATTGAGTTAGAAATAGAAATTTAAATTTCAGTGTCCTATCTTCTAGTTATTTTACCATGTTTCCTCTTTTTGAATAAAGATGTGTCACATCTTTGATGGCACTTCAGTTATGTTTTGCAAGCCTTGCTTAGAACCTTTTCTTATATTTATGCATACTCTTTCCATACTCTACATTTCCATAAGTGGTATTTCCAGTTTTCATCAATTTTGGTGGGTGTGAGGGCCTCTGGTTATTCTCTTATATTTCTAAAAGCTATGGTAATTGATTTGATTTTAATATGCTCTACTTTAAAGACTCTAAACACTGACAATTCAGATTCACCGAAATAGACAAAACTGAAGACATAAATAAAGCAGCTTTCCTGAAACATGTAAATCAAAGTGAATATTTAGATTTTTAATAAACCTAAATTGTTCTCTCCAGAGCACTAGATATTGAAATATCAAAAATATATAGCTGTATTTAACTTGAATATTAGGCTGAAATGATTTTTTAAAATCTAATGTCATTTGAAAGGCTTAAAATAACTAACATCCCCTTTACTTTTTTTTTTTTTAATTTATTTCGGCATATTGTGGGGGTACAGATTTTAAGGTTTCAATAAATGCCCATTTCCCCCCCTCCCCCCCAAATTCTGAGCCCTTATACTTTTCTATCTATGTCATGGTCTAAGATAAAGATTAGAATACTTGCCATCAAATCAATCCTTATCTTATCAGCTGGTTTTGTAATCAGCCCTTCCTCTTCTCCCAAACTGTATAAAGTTAAAATTCTGCCATAATTTGCCAAGTATAGCAGCTTAAATATACATGGATATTTTTCCCCAGGGTAGTATTTGTTTGGGAGACAATTTCTTTAATGTAAATTTCATTTTTTGGCTGACTAATGGCCACTCATTGATGTATGTAATATTAACTTAGAGATTCTACCTAAATTGAGATATATACAGAATTACTATAATTATTTTAGTTATTGTTTTGCTTTATTGGGACACAAATAAAGTATACTCCAAGAATGGAAATGGCAGTCCAGAGAAGGAAAGAACTATTGAATTTGAAGAAAACAAATTTATGATTGGAAACCAAATAAACTAAGGTATATTTTTGAAATGTATTATTTTTTGTAGGATTGGATGAAAGGTCTGCAGGCATTTTGCAATTTACGGAAGAGTAGTCCAGGGACATCAAATAAACGCCTTCGTCAGGTGAAACTCAATTTACTCTGATTTATAATTGTCATATTTTGCACTATCACTTTGCTCTCTTTTTTTATTTCTATCTGAACTATTTTGGGCAAAATTTCTTAAGAGAAGTTAATCTATTCAGGCATTTTAAAGCCATGCTGCCACTTGTGCTTCAGTAACAGGAAACAGTTACTTTTTATAAAGAAAATGATTTTTATATACCTTCTGGTTCTTAGTCCATAATAACAACTTTGAATACATAAGAAGGATTATTTATTCCTTCCACTTAAAATAACAATACCAAAACAACAAGAGCAGAAACAATTCTGTTGTGCACTTTTTTCCCTTCAGAAAATTATTGTGGCATCTTTTAAAAAAACAGAACATTTAAAAGATTATTTGACTTATAGTATTAATCCCAGTAAACATTTTTGGTTTTATTCTATAGAATTGCTTTTGAAACCTACTGTATAGCTCTTAGGTAATACTCAGTCTTATTTGAAACCTTAACATACTGTATACTTTCATTTGTGGGAAGTTAATCTAGGCTTTCTCTTTTTTTGTCCATACAAGAGTAACTTTATACCCTTCATTTCTTGGCTTTTTTTTTTTTTTTTCCTTTATAGTAATCTCTAGATAATTGAAAGAAGTTAGGCAAATTTTGACATTCTTGGGGTTTTAAGGAAAGCTTATTTATTGACTGAAGTGACTACTGTTTGATTAATGAGAATGTCTAATAAGCTCAGTGAATTTAACATTCTGTTCTCCTGAGAGTCGATAAATGGTTAATAGTTCCTGTAGCCAAATGTGTGGCCCTTCACCAAAGACATTAATTATATACATCACTATATGTCTTCAAAACACTGTAACATTTTATAAGCTGTGGAAAGTTCAATTGAATTTTTGCAAGTTTAAGAGCAAGTTGTTTCTTAGAGAAACTTATACCCATGAAATCATCCTTTGTAGGTATAACGTAATCATAGCTAACATCTTTGAGCCCTTTTTGTGTGTCAGTTGGCAGTGAGATTTAATGCTTCACATGTACAGTTGGCCCTCCTTATTCACAGGTTTCACATCAATGGATTCAGCCAACTGTGGATCGAAAATAATTCAGAAAAAAATAATACAGCAATAAAATATATTAAAAACAGCATAACAACTATTTATATAGCATTTACATTATATTAGGCGTTATAAGTATATAATCTAGAGAGGATTTAAAGTATACTGGAGGATGTGCATAGATTATGCAAATACTGTGCCACTGGAAGGGACTTGAGCATCTGCAGATTTTTATCATCTGCTGGAACCAATCCCCCATTGATACTGAGGGATGACTGTATTGTTTCTAATCCTTACAACAACCTGCAGTGTAGACTTTATATTTATGTATGAGAAAGATGAAGCTTAGAAGGACTGACTTGACCAAGGCCATACAGATAGTAGGTGTCAGGTGAAAAAGAGGACCTGATACTAGAAGGTAGATAGTCCTAAGTTCTGGCATCAAAACTGACAAATAACTTAGCTTCTTTAGATTTGTGCCCTTTTCTGTAAAATGAGAAGGTAGAGTCAGTGGTTTAAAAGTAGTTTTAGTTGGGGAACTCTTTTATAGAAATAAAATCTAAGCATTAATAACATATGGGATTTTGACTTGGGTAGCAACAGCTGTTTACTTGTATTAATAAAGAATCCTCTTCTCAATTTCATTTTCTCTGTATTGTTTGATGGTAGGAAAGGTGTATCTCATTATTTCTGCAAGAATATAAGAGGAGAAATAACTTGTAAAATAAAATTGCATTTTTTTTAAGTGGGAAGAATTATTTTAAATTCTTGGATGTTTTAAGTATGTCACATAAAAGGGAAAAATATTCCAAAGCCCATATTTTCTGAAAAGGGAAAAAAATAAGTCACTATTTTGGAGATTTTAATTGCTTTTGAAACCTAATTCATGAAATCTGGGGTAATACTTTTTATGTTTTTCTTTAGGTCAGCAGCCTTGTTTTACATATTGAAGAAGCCCATAAACTCCCAGTAAAACATTTTACTAATCCGTATTGTAACATCTACCTGAATAGTGTCCAAGTAGCAAAAACTCATGCAAGGGAAGGGCAAAACCCAGTATGGTCAGAAGAGTTTGTCTTTGAGTAAGTCTTATTTTATCATTACATTAAATAATTTTCTTTTACAATATTGCATTTTCTTTCCCTTTTTTTGGGGGGGGGGTGTCTCTGTTATCTAAATTGTCAGAACTAAGTACCAAGGCCAGATGTTTTAATTTTTTTGTTACATTTGTTCACCTGTATTAATAAAGTACAGTGCCCTCGGTTTTTCCTAATTATTAATATGAATTAGCATCACGGAGAAGTCCAAAAACATTTACTAACCCACACATATAAGATGTTTATTTGAGTTTCCAGGAATTATTTGAATTTTTGGTAGTTTAGGTTAAAGAAGGTAGGGAAAATGTGTAATTTGCTTGTCTGTATTCTTGTATACCAAATAATAACATTTGTTGTGAATCTAGTTTTAAATCTAGCACACTCAAATTCTTTAGCAGAAATAGGGGGTTATTTGATACTAGAACTAAAGGAATCAGTTTGATACCAGAACATTTGTTAATTCTTTTTCTCCTTGCTCCTTTAGTGATCTTCCTCCTGACATCAATAGATTTGAAATAACTCTTAGTAATAAAACAAAGAAAAGCAAAGATCCTGATATCTGTAAGTTGACACAGAAACTCTTTCTAAAGTAGAAAAAGCATGTTTTATATACTTTTAAAATTTATAATGAAATGCACTCCTAAAATGGAAATTGAAAAATAAAACAGAAGGCCAAGTAATATAATCTCCTTCTAAAAGTACTTGAGAAAGAATGTATCTAAGAAAAAGACCAAAATGTCTAATTAACTACAAACTGACCCTAACATTAAAATACATACTTATCCAACCTCCTTTCTCCAATGAATAGGAAGAATAAGAAAATGGTAACAGGATGGGGCTTCTTCCATCCCTTCTTTCTATTAATACTTTTAGTTTTTTCCTATTTCTTTATACTTAGCATATAAGTAACAAAGTATTCTATTTAAAAATTTTCCTTAAATGTGAACATGTTATTTATTCACTTTTGGTAGTTAAAGTCTTCCAGTTCTTGTTCTCAGCAGCACACCTCTTTCTAGCCTGTTGCTAAAACAGTTGGCAGTGGGATTTAGCAGTTCACATCAGGGTGAATTAGGTTAATACCTTCTTAAAACTCAAGCTTAGGGAAGGAAGTGGTATGTATTAACAGATCAAAGCCTAAATTTTTCTCTTTAAAATGTTTATTCTGTCATTTCTGAACTATTGAAGTGCTTAACATTTTTAAATGATTCTCCATTACTTTTTTGATAAAATCCAAACTCTGTAGTAATGACACAGAAGGAAGGCTCCTTTTTCTTTTTTCACTACCTTTATTCTTAGATATACCTCCAGATCCTGTTAAAGTCAGCTCAAGGGTTACCTGTTTGGATTATTAACCTCCCCAGGCTGAATTAGATCATTTCTGTGTCCTCCAATAGCCTTAACCACTGTTACAGCACTTATCACACTGTACCATGATTGATTTCTTGCCTTCTTGATTAAACTGACCTCCATGCAAATCAGAGACCACGTCCTAATCATCTATCACCCTCCCTCAAGAGTGTAACACATAGTAGGCATTCAGTAAATTAGTGAAGTAATAAGCACTTAAGTATTAAATGTGTGATGTTCCTGAAAACTCCTTTAATAAAAAGCATTTACCACTATAGAGAAGACTGAACATCAGGAAAATTTACTTGCATGACTAATAATAGTGTTATCTTTTTAGATAATAACCATTTGTTTTTCTTTCCAAGTATTTATGCGCTGCCAATTGAGCCGGTTACAGAAAGGGCATGCAACTGATGAATGGTTTCTGCTCAGCTCCCATATACCATTAAAAGGTATTGAACCAGGATCCCTGCGTGTTCGAGCACGGTATTCTATGGAAAAAATCATGCCAGAAGAGGAGTACAGTGAATTTAAAGAGGTATTAAGTTATTTATCAGTCTAATTATTTTTGTTGGCATTATTAACAGAAACATTTAACATTTAACCCATTAAGTTAAATATAGTAATTTCATAGCTTAGTGGTACACAGCTAGCTAGAGAAGGTTAAAAACCTTATATTAGTATGATTTTGGTTTTAAGAGACTTAGAAATATGTAGGCTACAAAATCATTCTATTTTTAATAAATTTATTCAATGAGACATATTTCTGAATTTAAGAACTCATGAAAGAACATATTTTCTGTTAGTGTCACTGAGAATGCTTAGTACTATGTACTCTAAACAGTCTTTTTAATGTCATTTTTAGCTTATACTGCAAAAGGAACTTCATGTAGTCTATGCTTTATCACATGTATGTGGACAAGACCGAACACTACTGGCTAGCATCCTACTGAGGATTTTTCTTCACGAAAAGCTTGAATCATTATTGTTATGTACACTAAATGACAGAGAAATAAGTATGGAAGGTATGATATGGATGTGTGAATCTGATACTTTAAAAAACAGGGTTAACTAGATTTTTATATATCAAGTATATATAGACTCTATCTCTGAATATATGAAGTTGTTAAATCATACTACAAAGTAAGTTACTGCTTTTCCTTCATAAAAATCTAATTAGGATGCCAGTTTTGATTCTTATGTTGGTTACTATGGGGAGCTAGTATTTTTAATACAGGTTTCTTTCATAACAGATTAGTACTAGACACCATAAGAAAGTGATTTCTGTGTCCAGATCAATGGCCCATAGTGCTTCATTATCATTATCAAGAATAGTTTGGTATACTTACCATATTCTTCTAATTTTTACCAATTCATTGGACAGAAGTTGGGTGGCAGCTGCATTTTATTCTATAGATAGGTAGTTCCCTGGCTACTGGACACATAGACTATCTTTTCTGACAATATTTGAGTTTCATTATTTTACTGAAACTCAATAGCCATGTTTTAGGCTAATCAATTAACTTATACTGTGACTTATGTTATATTCTTATTTGGAAATAAACTCAAAATTTTCAAAAGCATGGGATCGGTGCACAGCAAAGCTGGTTTCTGGTCCTTGTTTTGTCAATAACCAGATAATTGATCTTAAACAAGTCATATAACCATTCCAAACCTTCATTTTTTTCATATGAACATGGTAGTGCTAATCCCTTCTCCTATTTATGATCTAACGAGGTTATACATATAAAAGTCTTTTACTGAGTTAAGTCTACAGAAAAACAGGATGTTGTAATCAATACTTCAATGCTGCATGCAAAAGTACATTTAAATGGCTGTAACTGTTGAGGAAAAATGAATTCACTCCCAATTTGGTCATATTTGTACAGTCCTTTACAAATAGTCTTCTGACATATTTCTGTAGATGAAGCTACTACCTTATTTCGAGCCACAACACTTGCAAGCACCTTGATGGAGCAGTATATGAAAGCCACTGCTACACAATTTGTTCATCATGCTTTGAAAGATTCTATTTTAAAGATAATGGAAAGCAAGCAGTCTTGTGAGGTAAGAACTTAATATTTTAAGTATTTCAGCAAAAAGCATATTTTAATAGGTTAATACTTTATAGCTAATTACATTTTTAAGGGAAACATATAACTTTCTAAAATTATTGAGAGCAGTATATCTTCTGTAATACATTTATAAAAATGTTTTACAAAATAGACTTTAAGAAAGATGTGCTTTATTTTGGGATTAGAAGCCAGCAAACTGCACCAGAAATTCATGAAAGTACTTTATTTCTCCTGCTGTACTAATGATAAAGTATACATTATTTTCAGAAAGTGTGCATAACATAAATTGAAGTCTTTGCTAGTGATTTTTGCTATATAACCTATGTAGCACTTCATAACATCTAGAGTTTGTCCTTGAAGAGTTTTTGGGGTAGAGAGGGGAATAATGAGATAACTTCCACAAAAGCAAATAAAAATATCTTTTAGAATTATTAAGGTTTCAGTGTAAAATCAAAATAAATCATTAAGATAGTGGAATCTCACTTAATATGGCTACTCTCGCTTCTAGAACTACAAAGATATTAAATACATTTTTTTAGATCTCATATAAAGTCACTGAAATAAGGAATTGTTTTTGATAATGTACACTGGGAGATGTCAAATATTAATTGTGCACTGAGTTGTCAATTTTTACTAATAAAGGGAAAAAAATAATGAATTATTGTCGGAAATCTAAGGTAACTAACCATGAAGGGTGATACAAACACATCAAGTTTGAAGGGAGTCTCTAAACTTTGGAGATAGGCTAGGGAATTCATACTTTATAGGTAAATCTTCTCCACTGGTACTTGATCAGAATTCTCACATTTCAGGGGTTACTGGGAAAGTTTTGAGAAAGGTTCGTGATTCTGCCTAAGCCATTTGATATTTTTATTAGCTATTAAAGATGTCTTATTCAGAAAAGCCTTTTGTTTTAATAAGCTTTTTCCGCCTCAAATAAATAGAATTGAATAATTACTGCTTGGTTCTTCAGTTGGGTAATAGGAAATCAATGGTAGGTAACAAACTCATTAGAAGGAGTTCCATAGAGAAAACGACTTTAAAATTCCATTGTATACAAAGAAAAAAAGAGACTACTGATATACAGTGAAAAATGGGAAAATAGAACCTTGAAAACTATAACTGCTTGTTTACTTGATTCATTTGCATTTATCATTGCCAAGATGCATTT